ATTTTCAAAGATATTTACAAATAAAAATATATTTCAATGTGTATCTCAGACATGAGTACACCAGGCAATCATTAACCAGATGCTAATACCTATATATAAAATCATAGTGAATACACTTATAAACACCCACAAAATGTTTTACTATATGATTATTCAATTATAATAGTCACTACCACAGACAACATGAATTTTTGAAATATAATAGCAGAGTTCAGTACAACGTAAAATATTTTATAGTGATATATCTATAGTTACAACCCTAGAAAATTCAGTGCATATTACAACTCTGCAAAACATATTGTATGTATTTCAACAATGTTTTAAGGTCATTAATTATTAAAAAAGATCTTTCACCCATGAAGATACTCAATGGGGCACCCAGTAGTCCTACAGAGCAAACCCTTTTTTTTTAACAAGGACTGTTCCACATACCACACCTCTTTACTAAATAAATCCATATAGCACTATCTACAGAGCAAGCAATACTGGCCCAGTACTGCCCCTACTGAAAGCTACAGCTCTGGCAACAAAAGTGTTCCTAACTAAAATGAGGTTACTGAGAAACCAAGAAGTCACAAACACAATAAAGTAGTTGCCCAATTACAGCAGTTTTTATTGTTGCTGTTTTGAAACAGTCTTGCCGTGCTAGTTCAGGGTGGCCTTCAACTCAGTAGGTAGCCCAGACTGGCCTTGAACTGGCAGTAATTCTCCTTTCTTAGCCTCGAGAGTGCTAGGGTTATAGGAGTGTGCCACCGTGCTATGCAATGGCTGGTTTTACACGTTTACATTTTTCCTTAAACATTTACATTTTTTCTTGGGATCCTTAATAGTTTGTATGAATTGAAAAAGATACAAAGTGTTTATGAACATTCTTTAGACACATAAACTTAGCTTTGCCTTCAAGTCAAGAAGTTCTTAAACAACTTGAGTATCTGCTGCATAACTTGGCAAAAACTGAAAGAGAAAAATAATGCAGGCAAACACTGACACTTGTGGTCATTCTGAGATTGCTAATTTGCAATCAGGCTAACTTGCTTTGTGAGTTCAAAAAAAGTAAAACTAGCTCATACATCACTTACGGACTTCAGAGGAAAATTTTAAACCTTTAATACACACTTCTTTTAAAAAAAACATACTATTTACATTAAATAACCACAAAATATGTAAGCATTATTTCTCAAATCTCTTATGTACTTAAAAAAAAACTATAATTTCAAATCAAATAGTCATAAGGCCAGTAGATATTACTATGCAATATTGCTCAATAAACTATATCCTCAATAAACTAACTGGTCTCAGACAACTGTTACGTGGCAGTTTTCAGAATGGTACGAAAATTATACCTGATGTTTTTCTGTGGGGAGGGGTTTGAGACAAGATCTCACTATACAGTTCAGGCTAGCTCTGAATTCACTCTGTAGCCAAGTCTGGCCTCAAACTTGTGGTAATCCTACCTCCTGCCTCAGTCTCCAAGTGGTGGGATTACTGGAGTGTACCGCCACACCTGGCTAACAGTGACATTTTTGTCCAGTTCTTGTGAGAACCCACTGAAGTAATTGTCTTAAATCAGGGAACAACTATTCATACTAAAGCACACACCAGAATGAAAACCAAATTTGGGAAGATCAGATTTATACCTCCCTTCTCATATTCCTCAGATATTTGCTTATTGTCTGAAGAGTTCTTGCCCACTCATTTTTCTCTCAATCTTTTTACAGTTAAATATTTATACAAAAAAAAAAAAAAAAACTAGGTAATATAACTCCTTAAGTTGCCATCTGATAGTGAGATTTGCATCTGTTTCATCACATATTAAGCATTCAAAATGTGTTAACTACGTGAATAAAAGAGTAGTGATTTCTGTTCAGTAGAAACCAACAATCAGAAAACATTATAAATCTTGTCTTTAAATTCCAGTTCCTTGAGAGCTTTTCCAGAAATACCTACCAGAAAAGCCTTAAAGCCAGCTAAACAATTTTGGCTATAAAACACAAAATAACAGATACCTGTTTTTCCATCAGGGATATGTTGTAAGAGGAAAATGTAGATGTATATAAGTAACAATTATAAGCCACTTGTAACTGTAAACTTAAAAGTAGCTAGCAGTTTGCTGAATTTGACACACCCATCACATTTCTGAGTTAGTTTAATCCAGAATCCAGATACTAAAAGAAATCAAAGGAAGAATTTGTACAAACTGTCATTGGAGAGTTTTACTACTCTTGACTGCAAACATGTCAGTTTCTAGAAAAAGTCACTAACTGAACTTTTATCTCACATCTGCTATTTTTATAAAGTTCTTAATCAACACATCTTAAATTTAAGAAATAGCTTGCAGATGCACCTAAAAGTTTAAAGTATATTTCAGGTATATAAACAAGCATCTTTTGTTGTTAATTTCTAGTAGTTTTTGCTGTATAAATGCAGTTAAAAGAAAATGGTCCACTGGTAATTCAGGGGCTCAATCCAGTACTAGAGGAGCTCCATTTATGAGTAGATTATCTATAAAGATCTCTTAATAATTGAGATTCCAGAGCCAGGGGTGTAGCTCTGTGGTAATGTACTCATGTAGCATTCATGAGGCCTTTGGTTGATTCCCCATTAACTGGTCCCTCATTCTTCAATAATTAAGATCCACAATAAATTCTATGCAACAGCAGAAAGACCCCAGTCAAAAGAACTTGCAAAGGTAATGAATGTCAATTATTCTGATTTGATTACACACTGTATGAAATGTGAAATTGTATTCCATAAGTATGTATGACTATTGTGTTCATTAAAATTAAAAGTGTATTTTTTTAAAAATTGGCAAAATAAATTCTTTCCTGGAAAAGAAATGAGTCTAAATCATCTTTGTATCCTCAACATTAAATAATCTGTGTCTAAATTTAAATGCTAGTATTTATAGTTGCATTATGTACCTACATTCATATTTATATACATTTACTGAAAAGATAAAGTGAACATGTAAACATCCATTTATAAGTCTATCAGTGATTCCTGAATATACTATGCTAGCACTGGGAAAAATTCTGTTTCTCTAGTAACCATATTTACCATGTCTACAAAGCAAGAATTTAGATAATCTTGCTCTGAAATTCCCATCTTGAATTCTTTCTCATCCCTAATTCACTAATATTTGGGCTAACAACTCAGCACTAGTTACTCATCTTTACAATAGGTATTATAAAACTATCATGAAGGATACAAGTCATTTATATAATACCTTAGATGGTTAGCACACAATCTGACTTTGGGTAAAAAATAAATGATTACCACCACTTGGCAGTTAAATCATACATAAGGAACCACTATTGAACATGAATCTACAGAAGCTCACAGCTACTTTTGAAAACTAAGTGACTTAATACAGATTTATAAAATTATTCTGTTCCCTAGCTCATCTAATTAACAGCAATAAGCAGCTTTTATTAAAAAAAAAAGGGAGAAGAGGGAAGCAAGGGTAGGAAATGGGAGAAAAAAATAATTGAGATATATTATTTACAGGTATAAATTCTCTACGATGTGATCATGTATATCAAAAGTGTATCAATAAAGTTAATTTTAAAAAAAAAGTAATGACAGATGTAAGGACTAACTGCCAGACAAATATGGTGGTGCACACATTATAATTCCAGCATTCCAAGTCAGAAGGATCACAAATTTGGGCCTAACCTGGGGAGCTCAACCACACAGTGAATCCATTTGGAAAACAAAAAATTTTTTAAAGTGCAACATACAGTCCCCCCAACAAAAGAACTAAATGCATAGAAACACAGGTTTTAGTCCTCTCCTTCAAATGTGGCTAAGGAAAGTCAAAGACTTAGTTTCCCATTTATAAATTTTTCTAATTTTGTTTCTTTATTGGTTTTTCTAAGAAAATCACATACATTATCAAGGAACAAGGTCACAGGAGATCCTGAAACTCCAAAGCACATTTCATCAGCAAAATTAAAAAATACTAAGACAAAAAAATTTTTAAGTGTTAAAGAAAATATGCATCTTTATTTATTTGAAATAATATTACTGAGTAAGACTGACCAGATGAAGTACATATATAACTATAAATATATAATTTAAGCTCCAAAATTACAAATTGCTAGGAGTAACTCTGGGAGTATCAGAAGAACTGATAATTAAGGCTCTTCAGAAAAAAAGAAAAAATGGCCACAATCTTCTTACAAACAAAAAGACACTAACCCCACTAAGAAGGACTTGAGAATATCAACTGCTTAAAGAAAGTGCTTGATGGCAAATTATTAATTAAATCATCCTGAATAACTAAACATAATTAGCAAAATCTCATTACTCATCAATAAGATTTCTATACATGTGCATTTATCTCTTTCATCTACTAAATCATTTTATTGAATTCTGTGATACATAATTTTAAAGAGAAAAGTTAAAATACTTAATTAAAAAGTGATTAAAAATAAGTTTACTACCTTTAAGAATGATAGAAATCACAGAGCACAAAGCAAGTGAGCCATATGACTAATTGAAATAGTAAGGAGTTTCATAGCAGCTGACAAATATAAAATGTATAAAATAGGAGAGAAAAGTCTTAAGTTATATATAAGATGCATAGTCTATGACTTTAAGTACTATGCTGGCAAAATAAGACAATTTTAGGGGGGAAGCTTCAAAAGGAAGATGCACTGAAAGGGTTAAATTACACCAACTTATGTATACAAGCTTTTACCACTTATGCTCTATTAAAGCATGTCAGAAACATGAAAGCTCCCATTCAACAGAAATATTTAGAAAGCCTATGCTTAAGTTAAAAAGGAAAAAAAGCTATAAAAATAAAATCGTTAAGTATTCATTTCACAATCATCCTATTTTCTGAGTATTTACTCATCCCTACACTTATACTGAATATTCGTATTGATCACACAGAAGCAAAATCTCTAAGCTTCTCCCTACCTTAGCTTTTTGGTCAAAATGAATGCAAACAATCACGTGGGATTCAGCCAAGCAGTGACGTTAAATTCTGCTCTGTCAGAGAGAGCATCTGTCAAGCCCACATTTAAACTGCTGCCTGCCTGTGCAGCAGCTGAGGAACCGTGGATTTCGTATTATAGACTAAAACCCCAGCACAACTGCTCGGGGAGGGGGAAAAAATCTTTCCTGCAGCTGCCAGGCAGGAATGAAAGAAGAAAGGTAAATCCTATTCTTTTCCAATACAACCGAAGCACTTGATTCTGGCTCTGCTGCTTTACATTGTAGCTCAGTGCTATTACTAGAAATATGGATACTGAGAAGAGAACACAGCACTGCATTGTCCAGTCAGGAAAACAGCAGATGTAAAAAGCTTCAATGCATCAACTGTCGGAAAGAGTCAACAGTGCTCTGAATCAACGAACAATTACAGCTCTTTTGTCTAACGAGAGAGAGAAAATGAAAGAAAGCAGATATCTCAGAAGACTAGGAACCATATGAACACGGAGGGTAACCCGAAGACAAGCCGACAGATGGACACTTTGGATACTGTGAAAAGCAATCGCAGGAGGCAGACTGTTGGGGGATGTGCGCATGTTCGACAGCATCTTTTTTGCTGAAGTGATGGCGTGCCAAAAGTACTTTCAGTGGTATAAGCCTCTCCACATAAATGGCCTGACTAAGGAAGGTATGTCGATATCTTGTGCATGATATTCATTTAAATGTGTTGCCTTTTTATAGCCCCAGAGGCACTAATACTTAATAAACAAGTTCCTGCAGTTCACTGCCCTTGAAACTACAAAAGGTTTCTAAATATATTATTTTGAAATTTGTCATTGTTTAGAAGACAATTTGTCACTGCTATATTCATCTAAATATATAGCTTGGGGTAATTATGGAATATAGATATGTAAGAGGAAAAAGACTAATAGTAACAAGATGTACTTGAAAGATTCTCTGAGAAATTAAACTTTAAAAAATTTTGTAGCTCTTTATAAAAAACAGCAATCCTCTTTCAAATTAGGTCAAACTGAATCCTTATCTAGTAAATTAAAGTACACTTTTTAAAATAGCTATCAAGAAACAATGCAATGAAAATTACACTAAATAGTTTTAAGTATGATCTTATTATTATGAGGTGGTTTTTTTTTGCAAAGTCCTTTTAAAGCAAAATCTTAAGAGCTTATAGTAATAAAATCTCCCTCTCATCTCTTTTTTCAAATAAAGACAATGAACACAATCTAAGAACATATCAACTAATATAAGTACTACTGAACTACAAAAAGATATTAAACAAAGAATTAGCATAGATTCACATAAGGTAGTTTGAGTTTATGCACAGCATAACACCATGGTACAGTCACATGTTATAGTGTCCACAAACACAACTTTACACAAAGAGATATCAAATACTTGCTAAAAACTATCCTATTTAAAATAGTTTTTATGTTAAGTAACAAATTCTACATGATCAAAGCTAAAATTGTTAAAGGAGATTTTTTAAATGAAATTCAAAAACAATATGAAAATACTGTGATATAAAAATATACATTAACAGCAATATAAGTTCAAAAATTAAATATAAATGTAATAAATGTGCATACTGATATGTAGTAAAAAGCTACTGCCTCTATATATGTGTATAGGACAGAGATAAATCAAAGAAACTATTTTAGTAACAATAGCAACTCGAGGTTCAAGAACTCAGATATTTCTAAAATGTTACAAACTTTCCAAGATCTTATTTTTTTCACTCAATTTCATACTGAATAATCAGAGGGCAAACATTCTTACAACATATGTAAGCAATGTATTTCAAAACTAGTGTTAAACATATTCATCAGGCTCTATTACATATCAACACTGTGAATCATAAACCATGAATTTTTATCCTAGTAAAGAAGAAAATACTGGAGTATTACACAAGAACAAAATATAGTTGTAAAACTCAGGCCCTCTTGGTACCTTTATCTATATTAAAGTCACAAATTAAGCAGTTTCATAAGCCAGACATCTCAAACGTGTAGAAGTTTTTCTATTTTAAGGACCATGTCAACGTAAGACTGTTCCAATATAATAAATGCAACAACACTTTAAAAAGTAATCTGTGTGCATGTATGTGTTATATGTGTATGCACACACATGAAGTGAACTGCATTTTATACCAACATTATACCCGTGAAAAGAACTGAAAATAAATTATAACAGATAAAGCTATCTCTGTAAATACAAAAAGTGCAAAACTATTTAACATGCCAAATATTTAACTTTATCTTGCTCTCACTTCTCATAATTTAAAATACAATAAGCATTCACTGCAGAATAATTTTATTACCTAATAAAGTAGAAAATAGTTATTTCAATTTTATTGTCTTAACAGGAAAATTATGATAATTGCAGAGAAATGTTTAAAGAATTTTTGATGTAAAACACACAAGCTCATTTATCAATGGGAGGTTAAAAATAGGTATATATATTTCAAGGCCGTAGATTATCCACACACAAGTATCATGAAATTTAAGATGTATGTCTATCATAATTATATAATTAGATTCGAACCAAAATCATTTATTTATGCTAGATTACATGATAATATGGTATTCTGTAACATAAAAGTATTTTGGAGACTTCTCTTAGGGGATATTTATTTCTACAATATTTACCTTCATTTACTTCTTCAATCTTTTGCTCATTCATTCAAATACTTGGTTTTTTATTTATTACTTCTTAAATCATAAATTTATACTTTTAAAAGATCTATTATAAATGACTGAACCCAAAGCAGATTCTAAGCATTATTATAGCAATAGAAAACTGATTCAGTTAATTTATTTGGAATACTTGTGATAGGTCAAACTAACTTTAAAAGTAACTTTTGTTGTTTTTGAAATGTACATACACAACCCATAAACCTGCTGATCTCTTTACAGAGGGAGGGAGTCATTACTATATATCAAAACAAATGTATTATTTTGGAATAAAAGCTGAAAAATGACTTTCTAACCTAAACAGGAAGGTTAACTATTCACAAGTACAAAGAGAAAAAAACTGAGTTTCTAAGTCAGAATGCTCAGCTCTATTATTTTCAGCTTGGCTCACATTAGAACTATGCTTTGCTGATATAGCTTTGGTCTTAGTAAATTGTTTTTAAAATCCCAAACTTTAAAAAAAAACTGTTCACATTTATCAAAAAGATTAAATACCTTATATTTCAGAAATATTATAATTGCTAAAAATGCTATATAATTTCAGAAACTAGAAATTATTAAATGCTAGTGCCTGTCTTGCTACACTTCAGAAATTCATTCAAATTCCCACCTACTTGCTCCTCCTAGTGGCTGCTACTAAAATAGTGCTTTCATTCATATATACCTAACACTTTTAATCAATAGTTTTAAGAACCTAATGTTTCGTAAATTTATACTACAATTATTCAAAATTTATCTGTATTTACATGTAAATTCTATTATTTTCTAAAACTAATTTCATGTCAAGGCTAAGTATTTTATTAACTGTGATTTTATTAACCAAAATTAATGATATTATTTTAAGTAATCATATGCATTTGCATGTATTATTTCAAATGTCTCTACATTAAAAATGTTATTACTGTGCTTTTACTTAAAATATAATTTTCAGTAAAGATCTGAAAAATCGAAATTACATATGTGTTGTTTTCTTTCTCAAATTTTGTTCTCATTTAATGAAATGCGAACTATAGCTTTTCACCTATCTCTATACCTCCACACCTGCTCTGAAAAATGTAAGGACAAATAGAAAGAAAAAAAAAAACTAAGAACAAACAATAACAAGTCTGTACTATGCACTGAAAACCTTGTTGCAAAATAACCAGTTTCTAACATATGGCATCATGAAATTCCCATACTGGTATCTCATAACTTTTTTTTACATCTCCCTTAAATTTTTGTCTTATGCTATATAGAAAGAAGTCTTAAAATTTTAACAAATTTTGTAAATGCAAACTTCTAACATCATAGTTCAGAAAACTTTGTAAACATTTTTTGAACACTCAAATTTTAAATTGTTGAGTATGATAGTAACTACAGCTTATATTTCACATGAAGCCTGCAAAAAAAGTCCTTCTGCTAGCACTATTGATAATTAAAGATAATTATTAGTTACATTATAAAATCAACTTTAATTCCTGAATACTTCATATTTGATGTGGAAGATTAAAATTAGAAAAGAGTACATGAAAATTTTGATCATTTATTACTGTCTAAAAATCCTACAACAAAGTTACTGGACCTTGAAAATTAATTCTGACAGGTGCATCTTCTCATTGACTTTCTCAACACAGTAGGGGCCAATGGAAACATGCCAAGCAGTGTACTGTGACTAACAGAACTCTGCCATAATCAACCTTGCACCGTCTGTCCCACAACTGATACATGACCATTTTACAAAAAAGGCCACTAACTGTGCACGATACCACCAATGGTATGTCAAATCAATTTTAATTAATGCCAATAAATTTCCCATCTGCTCCCAAGGCCTTCAACAGTCTTTGTCAGGAATCAAGTAACATTTTTTTTTTCTATATGCATCCAACTTTTAAGTCTTTAACTTAGGTTGAAGGTACAAATAAGCAGAATCATTGAGACAGTGAATAAAATAAAAGCAAATTTATCACACCCCCCCTTAAACTGCTCTCTGTGCTACGAAAAATGTATTTTTAAAGTAAATAATCTTGATCTCAGTGATGTTATGTTGCCAATGAGAAATACACTAAGAACTTTGTTTCTGGATTATGTATTTCCACAGCATAAGAAATGCTTATTCGACAATTTTACCAGCATCCAGAGTTCCTTTTAGGTGGTTTCCATATGATTTGGCATTTTATAAACATTTATGCTTCATATTTATAGAATGACTACGAGGGACACGCGTGACTGAATTAGAAAATGACTACCAAAGAATAGTATTGATTCACAAGAAGAAAACAGTATTTCAGCCAACCAATATTTCTCATTTCATTACTGGATATTTACAACATGCTTCAGTGGAGAAGACGACACTGTTGCTTTGCAAAAATGACCTGGAATGGCAAGAGGTCTCTGTTTCGTACCCATCTTATTGGTGTACTTTCCTTAGTGTTTCTTTTTGCCATGTTCCTGTTTTTTAATCATCATGACTGGCTGCCAGGTAGAGCTGGATTCAAAGAAAACCCTGTGACATACACTTTCCGAGGATTTCGTTCTACAAAAAGTGACACAAACCATAGCTCCCTTCGAAATATTTGGAAAGAAACAGTCCCTCAAACACTGAGGCCCCAAACAGCAACTAACTCTAACAACACTGACCTTTCACCACAAGGAGTTACAGGGCTAGAGAACACTCTTAGTGCCAATGGAAGTATTTACAATGAAAAAGGTACTGGGCATCCAAATTCCTACCATTTCAAGTACATTATTAATGAGCCTGGAAAATGCCAAGAGAAAAATCCTTTTTTAATACTACTAATAGCTGCAGAACCTGGACAAATAGAAGCCAGAAGAGCTATTCGGCAAACTTGGGGCAACGAAAGCTTAGCACCTGGCATCCAAATCACAAGAATTTTTTTGTTGGGAGTAAGTATTAAGCTAAATGGCTATCTTCAACGTGCAATACTGGAAGAAAGCAGACAATATCATGATATAATTCAACAAGAATATCTAGACACATACTATAATTTGACCATTAAAACACTAATGGGTATGCACTGGGTTGCAACATACTGTCCACATATTCCATATGTTATGAAAACTGACAGTGACATGTTTGTCAACACTGAGTATTTAATACATAAGTTATTGAAGCCAGATCTGCCTCCTAGACATAACTATTTTACAGGTTACCTAATGAGAGGCTACGCACCCAATCGAAACAAAGACAGCAAGTGGTACATGCCACCAGACCTCTACCCCAGTGAGCGTTATCCTGTCTTCTGTTCTGGAACTGGTTATGTATTTTCTGGAGATCTGGCAGAAAAGATATTTAAAGTTTCTTTAGGTATCCGTCGTTTGCATTTGGAAGATGTGTATGTAGGAATCTGTCTTGCCAAGTTGAGAATTGATCCTGTGCCCCCTCCCAACGAGTTTGTGTTCAATCACTGGCGAGTTTCTTATTCAAGCTGTAAATACAGCCACCTAATTACCTCTCATCAGTTCCAGCCTAGTGAACTGATAAAATACTGGAACCATTTACAACAAAATAAGCACAATGCCTGCGCCAACGCTGCAAAGGAAAAGGCAAGCAGGTATCGTCACCGTAAACTACACTAAAAAAGATCATTTTTTAAAGTGTGCAATGTGTAAATAATGCTACAAGCATGTATGGTTAAAATACACTCATAGGACAAGTTTTAGTTAAAATTCATCACATAAAGTAATTCAAAAATTATTTTTTAAATTTCTGAAGGTAGTATTTAACAGTATAACATCATAATGATGAAAAGATATCCCAAGAGAACCTAAAAAACTGTACAAGCGAATTCTGTGTATTAACATGCAATAATAAGTATGAATATACTGAAGGTTCAAGTTTTATGTTAGAGCCAATAAAATACATCTGAATATATTTTCACATAAATTTTAATTTAGGAAACAAAGACAGTTAAAAGACTTCATTTTAGATTTAGCTTTTCATTTCGATATATAATTAAATGTAAATAAAACATTACTATCAATTTTAAGGACACTTTGTGCAAAGGACAAATTTTCTGACCTAACTATTCTAGGTTTTTAAAAACTTAAATTCCATGCAATAAGATTTAGTTGAGTTATTTGATAAACTGTCATAAAGTTTAGATGTTTCATCAGTACTGTTTTCACCTATTTAAATTTTTTTTAAATGAGATATTCATCTGAGTTTCTTTTATTATTACTCATATATGGGGAATTATTTTAACATGACATGATAAAATGTGGCAAATCTGTATGTCTCAGGCTGAAGTTTTTATTTAAAAAAGTTATCTATCGAATGTTACCAAATAGATAAATTGTTTCCTCACTGATGTTACAAGCCAAGCTAGTTATTTCAATGAATTAGATTAAATACTACACGAAGAGTACCACCATTTAACTTCAAATATACCTGACTTCAAGTATTTCTGTAAAAATAAATAATGTTCATTTCTCTAGCTGAAAAAAAAGTAATCACTTAAAGGTATAAAGACATTACAGGAAAAAGAGAATACAGTAACAGTTTCATTCAATACATTTTTAAGATGCATGTATGCCAAACTGCAACATATGGAAAGTTTATTTTCTGACAGCAGGTGTACACATTGCCAACACTTAATCATTTTATGGCACCTATTTCTTTCTCTGAGTGCCAAGTTTTACAAACCTGCAGTTTTTAATTTGGTAGATGATAAAATTCTGTATAACCAAATAAAAACCTTTAGGGGAGGGATGGAGGAGAAAAGTACAAATGTTTGATGCACACCTGACTTTAGGATGAATAATGTATATGAAACACTTTTATCAAGCTTTTAATAAAAAAGATAAACAAAAAAATTTACTGAGTGTTATGATACAAATATTTTTACAGTAATTTTGTTTGACTCCATCATGGACTTTAAAATCAAGAAAAACTAATCCATTAACCCTAAACTAGTATTTTTATTTGATAAAAATGCATAAATTATCAGAACATTTCCTATCTCACTTCTAAAAATCATTTTTATCTCTCTTACTAAGGGATAAATCACCAGACTACAACTACAACATTTGTTTCAGTTCAGAATCATGAAAGGTTTAAGTTCACATTATGTAGTATGTTGAATTCTATTTACATTCTTAAGCCTGTGTTCTACTCTACATGGAATAATTTTTTAAAATGATCTAGTAACATCTTCTGCTCTTGATTCAAATCTGTTTTTCACTTAACTTATTCTGATTGTAGAACAATTACTAAATAAAAATCACACATAACAGGATGGTATCAAATTAGTGTTTTATGTAAAGGAAAAATGGAATTCTTCCATCACTATATAGAAATTCCCTCTAAGTTATACTGACATTTAAAAAAAAAGACAAAAAGAAACATCTGTGTGAGCATGCACAGAGTATATAAATCCTACGAGAATCTGAGTAGTATTCACCCAAATTATGCATATAGTGTATGACCTTCAAAAGACAGTACCGTATTTCTCTTGTGAAAAAATTAAGTTTGAAAAAAACAACTTATGAAAAATAATTCTTAACACTTAACCTCCTATTTGAGAAATTAACTTATAATCATGTCTATATTCCTAATAATTCTACCTTGAAAAATAATGATAATCTGATATATCTGAGTCCTTCAAGGGGAATGGATCCAACAGTGAAGCTCTTAGTAATGAAGAAAATCCTTATTTCAAACTAATATTCTATTAACTTGATTTTTCACTTTCAAACCACATGCAAGTTAATTTCTTAAGCAAAATAAATCTTTAAACATCTTACCAATTAATTATGTTTTTTCTCAGTACTATGCAATTCTTGACACACATAAAAATAATTTTAAATAACAGCACTGGATGTAACAAAGAAAAGATTACAAGACCAACTATGTAATCTTTACACTCAAAGTACTAACATGTCCACGACAGGTCTGTAATTCGTATGTCTTGCTGCCAGGTAGCTTGAACCACCAGCAGCACATGCATACTATCCCACAGGGTGGCTTTTTATTAACTGTGTCAGTGAAAAGACCAGTAAAAGTGATTAGATCCATCTGTACCCCTCACCCATGGAATATTCATGTATATACCACAGAAGGTTCAAGCCAGCAGGAATATGTTAATATTTTAGAGACTAAAAATACCAGAAGTTTCAATACTTTTAACATTAGTCTACTTTGATCAAGATTAGAAGTGATGAAAATCTAAGTTGACTAATTCCAAATTCTCCTCCTTTGGTTTCATATATAGCACAATCATATACAATCTCAAATGAAATCTTAATACTATTTATTTCAGAAAATCTTATTAAACTAATACCAATAACAGCAGCGTAACTATTTACTGACTGTTCAAGTAGTGTATTCAGTACTGTTGAAGCACTTTACATACATGATCTCATAAAGCTACAAATTATAGTAAAATTAGATTGATGTCAGGAGTTAAATATGTAAGATCTCATAGCTAATAAGAGCAGCAGGTTTCCATTCCAAAGATCATGCTGTTAATCATTATGGTATTCTGCTATGTATTCTGTGTATAACAAATGTGAAAAGATCTACAAAACTAAGCGAAAATGTCCTTTGCTCTACTTTTCCATTCCCTGCCTGTTCTTTATTCTTTTCCAGTGTCTCCAGACTTCATAGCCCTTTTCACTCAGTGGAAGGGGACGTGATGTTAGATGCAAATAAAGATCAGGAGAAGGCGAGAATATCTATCTCCCAAGCATTTTCTCTTCTCCTTTATAGCTGCTGGTAAATGGTGAACAAAACCTTTGTAAAGCATGGACATTACTACTTACGTCTTGCTCCTTTGGCACAGAGATACATCTATACACAGCAAGTAGGTGGATTAGAAATTATAACAGGTGCTTCTTGTGAAACACAATTCATTTTTAATATACAAAAATGGTACTGCATTTATCCACTATACTGTTTAGGCACTTCCTGTTTTCAGGTGTAGTTGTAAAGCCAGTTTAACTTATTCAGATGTGCCCCCTCATTCCATTTTAATTGCTTAACCAGAAAATTTGACTATTAAATTAGCATAGTCATAAAGAGAAAGAAATCTCTATTTAAATACATTTCTAATATATCTTAAGGAATACCAGTCTACCTATATATTATTTGCAAAAAACTTGTAATGTGTCAATACTAAAACAAAGCATACAAAATTTCATTGGGTATTCTTCCAGTAAATAGCTACTCACTGTCTTCCGAGTATAAATTACAAACCTACTGCTCTCAAGATAAAACTTGCCAGGGGAAACAAAAAAATGCTTATCTACATAAAATTACTTTCTCTCCCTTTACTACAAGAAATGACTAAAGCATAACTTCAAGTAAAGTATACATCCAATTATCCCATCTACTTACTAATCTACTTATTTCGACTTCATTTGAATCTCACTTCAAACAATATACTGACCTAAATACTAGAAGAAATAAAAATAAAGCGCCAGTATCATAAAAAGTAATAAAGCTGTAGTATTAAATCTAAGCTTTTATAAGTAACTTGTAATTCAATAGTCAAAAGTTACTTACTTACATAACATAATAAAACCTATGTGGCTTCTTTGTTTCATTGTCATAATTAATGTATTATTAAAAACACATTTTATTATAAGTAGCAAACAGAATAATACATGACATCCTGCTGGCACTGATAATTTTTGACCATTGCTAAAGATCTGAAAAAGTTAATAAAGCCACATGATAATCATACCAACAAATTTCCTTAAAAGTACTTAATAAAGTCTTTTCCAGTTATTATTTTAATATTGTTAGAAAATTGGGAACAGACAAAATCACCTCTAACAACATGCTGTTAGCCAAAATCATGCTTAATTGTCCAACAAAATTAAGCACAGCAATGAGGGTGTCCAATGTCTAAAGTCCACTATTAGACATTGTTTTATGATTTAACAAATTTAAACTAATTTTCTCAGGTATCCCAGAAATAATTAGTAAAATTAAAAAAGTGGCATTCTAGAGCCCTGTTCTCACTTTAATAGCAACTGCATTTCTATACTGTATATGAAGTAAGCCCATTTGAATTCTCATTTAAAACTTTTTAACAACTAAGACTACTTCAACAATTCCTGAATTAAAATGACTATAGAAGAAAGAAAAACTATTATGCAATATCCAATAGACTCTACTGGCTCACAAAATAAAAAGAACTTGGGTAATCAGTCAAAAATAATACTAAAATACTAAACAACAGCCTTATACAACATATGGAAACAACTCATGACAGTACCATTTGAAAAATAAGGAGTAAAAAAGTAGGATTTCTAAGAAGAACACTAAAGTTTTGCTGTCAGGTATAAAATTTCTGACAATGAAAGTAGGGACTGTTTTTTAGATAACAAAAACTTTGTTAAAAACATTGAAAAACTTCCTTAACATGTTTTACTCATCTACATTTTTAAGCATTCTAGGAGAAAAAATTACTACAGCCCAATCAAATCTTAAATATATTTTTTGGTATGGATGGATATCACAAAAATAATATAACATGCATATTTTTAAAAAAGATACCAGCAGATAAGGAAATACTGCAAATGATCCTAAGAGAATCTACTACAAAGCAGCACCAAGCAGTACCAATTCTGATGAGTATTGGCACAAGCAGTAGGCAGTCAAATTAAAAAATAAAACTGGAAGGAACTCCAATGTTTATAATAGCATCATGAGTAAATCAGAATCTGATAATAATTCAGTATCCCACTTATTCAATAAAAAAATTGGCAAATACTTGAAATTTAATAATTAAGATTTAAATTAAGTCCTCAAAGTATTACTTCTAATTACAAAAATAAGACTCCAGATAAAGTGAAACAAACACAGTGCTGTACTGGTAACTACCAAATATCTACTGCTGTTAAACTTTTTAATGTGTGTTGGGGGTGTTGACAGCAAGACAACAAACTCTTACCAAGTCTCCCTTACCAAAATCAGGACACACAACTATGTATGACATGGTCCTTATACATACACAACCCACAGTTGCACACAAACCCCAGAAAATAAATTCATAAAAAATATGAATGGTAGAGACTTCCGGAAAACGAATAATGGTTATTTCATTTCTCATATTTTTGTGTCTTTTTTTTTCATGGAAAAGTTTATATTAAGTCATTAAGCTAATAAGCATCATATTGGTTTATACTGTATCTTCTACAACTGGCAGATTCATGGCACTCACTAAATATATTCTAATTTAATCAAATATTAAAATATTTACAGGGAACCTTTTATAGCTAAAGAATGATAATTAAAATCTATTTAATAGAGTACTTAGACTAGATGATCTTCCAGAGACACTTTTTTCAGGTTCTGACAGCCTACCAACTGCCAGACAGACACAGACAACTATGATAATAACCAGACAGGATACCAACATATGATGCTGTTTAATTAATCAATGATGCCTGTATACTACACAGTCACACACACAATGAAATAGATCTATTCCTCAGTTCTATGAGAATAACTTCAAAATGAATGGAATAAAGATCTAAATGTAAGTAACAAAACACACTGTTTTCTGGGGTTTGGGACACTGAATTTCTTGTAACTTGGCGGGGGAGCACCATTCTAATATACAAAATCAGAAACAATGGGATTCACAAACATAGTTATTAAAAAAAACTAGAAAATGTTTTTCTTTACATGACAATAAAAACATCAACAAAATTAGAAGTCATATGAAAAACTTGGAAAAGATATTTGCAATCCCCTCCTCTCTTAAGTCTCAGAAGGAAAAGAGCCAAATGTAAAGTTAAGAAATTTAAGTTAAAACTATCCTTTTAAGTTTGCATCAAAAGCATCAATGCAAACTAATTATACTGCGTTTTATTCATTCATTCATTCATTCATTCATTTATTTTAGTAGTGCCAGGAATTGAGTTCATGACCTTGCCAGGCAGGCACTTAGATCACTGAGCTAAATTCCCAGCTCTCCTGTCTTTAAAAAAAAAAAAAAAAAAACAAAAGGAAATCTGGATGATGGGAGAAACATAGGAGTAAAAGGAAGCTACCATGGCAAGAACACTTAGGACATAGTCTCTAATATGTATTTTGTTAAATTCCAGATCTGGAGTAGAAAATACACTAGATATACTCCATAAATATGCCAAAAGTCAGGTAAGAAAAAATTAATTATGTAATGTTTAAACAGCTTAAGATCTAACTTAAAGAGGTTCCTGGGCCAGGGATATAGCTCAGTGGCACAGCTCCTAACTGGCAAGCACAAGCACAAGGTCAGGAATTCGATCCCCAGTACTCAAGCACAAAAAGAGGCTCCTACTTGCCTGAACTGAATTTATTTGGTAACTATGTGAGAAGATGGATATGTTTATATGTTCTGCTATATTAGCTGATATATATATATATATATATATATATCTTATAACATCATGCTCAACACACCCAATAAAATTTACTCTTCAACAGAAAGCAAGGAAAATAAAACTAAGTAATTAAAGCAACAAATTCTGGCTAAAATGAATTCAGAAACAAGTATGTACAAATCTAAGTTCAAAATGATGAGTTGAAAAATTCTGCCCTTTAGATGCAAAGAAATCAATTCTTTAGTCAGAAAACTGGGGAAAAAAAACAAGTAGTTGTTGCTTCAATAAATCTTGTAGTTAATGCACAAAGAAAGTTTAGCAATTAGAATAAATTAAGTATATATATTGTGACAGGTAAGATTCCTCCTAAGACTATAATCTAAATTATTTCATTTAAGAAAACTCTATTAACTATCCATGTATCTGGTTTATGTAAGTTTACAATTATGTGTAAGTTTATATTCATGAGAATAAGTCAGAAAACAAAGGCACTGAAATATAAACATTACTTATTCTCAAGAAGAATATCACCACATAATCAATCACAGATGGGGTAAAAGAAACAAGTGGTTATAGCTTGCAAACATTTGACCTGTGTGAGGAACAGGGAGAGAAAGAAAATGAGTATGAGAAAAGAAAAAGCCAGCAGATTAAAATATGAATTATCATTATGTCTCTACTGGGTAACCAGAAAAGAACCATCTTCCTTAACAAGTAGCAAAGATTACAAAAAACTCTAGTTTAGGATGGATATAAAAATACGGGGCATAAAGTTGCTAAGCAAGTCACTTGTTAAAGGTCATTTAAAAATATTTTTGTTAGTACATGTTTGCATTCATCTTAAGTAGGTATCAGCTCAAAAAGAAAGAACAACTGGGAAAGGAGAAAAGAAAGAAAGGGAAAGATTTTATATATATATAGGTATAGAGATACATGTGTGTTATGTGTATATATACAAGGTGGATAACAATACTATTCATCTCTGCAAATTCATCAATAAGGAGAGTTTGTGCTCTCACTATTTGGTGGTTTGATCATTTTTTTCATACCTAAATCTTGTAACCTGAACGACTACTTTTAAGATAACAATATGCAATATTTTAATGGTGTAAATTTCCTATTTTTTTGAAATTCTGTATCATTTATCTTTTGGTTAAAATAAGCTTTAAAAAAAAGTACATCACCTATCATTTTTTTTTAATCATCCTCTGCCCCAGCAACCTCCCCCACTTCATCTCTAAATCCCCTTTCCTCACTTTCATTACCATTATTTCATATTTATGATATATACTGTGGGCAACTGATTCATTATGGGTATTCATTTTCATTATTATTTAATATCATATATACTGTAAGCAACTGACTCATTGTGGGTATTCATTGGTACATGTGATGACGTATAGTAAATGTTTTCATTCCTCTCCACCTCTGTCTCCGTTGTTCCAAAGGCTGAAGTTAACAGTATCAGATTTGAATTACTACTGTGCATAGTAAGGCACAAACTCCACTGCCACAGGAAACTGTAGTTTCATCAGATGGTGTTTCCATCTACTTCTAACAAATGACTAATGAGCTTTTCAAAATTATAGAGAATTCCAAGCAGATTTTCAAAGGCAGATTACCTTGGAAAGCCACTCCACTATAAATTTACAAAGCTCTGACAAGGCTGTTGGTCAAAGTAACCTGTCTTTCTAAGGCAAGTTTAAAGAATCCTAAGAATCTGAACTTTGAAGAAAATAAACATCTATACTTGGGCCTATATACACAGAAAAAGCAGTTGAAGTGAAATTCATTTGAACTTACGTACCTTGAAGACATTATCCTTTAATTCCTGCTACCTCAGATTTCTAGAGCTGCTGAGGGTACCATCATATCTTACCAAAATGGTAATGGTTCTTCAATTTCCCCAGAATGTATTTTTTTTTTCTTTGTCTTTCTTCAGTTAGTCAATTTTTGCTTGTAACCAAAGAATCTTGACAAAAAACCCACTAATAGTAAATTCTGCAATAATAAAATTACTCCTAATTCCCATGCTGATTCCATAATGCTCTGTAAGATCATGCCCTCTGTGCTTTGCCACCTGAACACATCAGGAATTGATACGAATACAAGAACAACTCTGTTAAAAATGAGGAGTTAAAATTTTTATATTTATTCATAAGGCATAGCCATACCCAACTTTCAAAAGAGCAACTAGTTTTTCTGCATGTAACACAATGGTGCTGAGGCTATGTTACAACAAGGGTTAGAGGCCTGAGTTCCTAACACAATACTATTATCAGACAAAGTCAACATATCGGCAAAGTAACCATAAAGCTTTCTGCCTGGACCTGATACAATGTAAAAAGTTGTTTGAACCTAGAAACTAATGAACAGAGAGAACTGGTCCCGTTTCATTCATATTCCCTTGAAATGTGTACTGATGTTCTGTTTAAAATTGCTTTCTTTTTCAGAGCTGTTTCCTGACTAGGTAAAGGGTAAAAAGGAAGCAGCAACCTTCTTTCTGATACATTAATGCAGAAAAGGGAAGAGAACAACTCCTTCACATTGAGGAAAAAAAGTAATTTGAAAGGAAGGAGGTAAACTTGCTTTGCAAAAAAAAATGCTAGTCAAAATCCTTAAGTAAAACCTCAAAGTATTTGAATGTCTATGAGTATATTACATTTAACATATTTAAGACAATTTACCGTTTCTTACACCCAAATTTAGTACCTTTTTACCATTTTCTCTCAGTAAATGGCTAACCGCAATATACAGACTATGTACAGAACACAATGAATCATCTTTGCTATTCTTTCTCTTTCTTAAATGTAACTACGGCAAGGACTGCCCAAATGGAGTCCATCTACTTTACTTCAACTTACCGCTCTACGATAGCATCTCTTACTTTTGAACTCCTGAATACCTTTGGAGGAACTACGTTTCCTCAAATACAGTCTGTTCCTTATGTTGTAGTCAAAATATTACTTTCAAAACAAAGCTTTTCATGACACAGCACTGTTTCAATGTTTTCCAATGCACTTGGAACAAATATCAAAAATTCTAAAATCCTTGGCTAACTACAAGTCACATAAATTGTTCTCTTCCTCATTAGAGTTAGTATCTTAGTGAATTGATCTTATTCCTACCTTCTACTTTATTATAAGTTATTCTCTCTTCCTCAAGGGTTACTTAAAAAGCAAGAAACAAAAGTCTTAGATGAAAAAAATGAATTGAAATTTAACTCAAAACAGTCCTAGTCTTCTGTTTAAATCATTTAATTTTATCAGAAAGGAAACTACAAAGATTTTTTTTATCTAGTGAAAAAAGATAGCGATTAGGGGCTGGGGATTTAGCTCAGCGGCATAAGCGCCTGCCTTGTAAGCAGGCAGTCGTGAGTTCGATCCCTGGTACCGATAAAAAGGAAAAAAGACAAAAAAAAAAAAAAAAAAGAAAAAAGATAGCGATACAGAAAAGGGACTCCAGAAATGTTAGAGAGGATTACAGTGCTTCATGACAGTTGGATATTGCAGGTGAGGCAGATGAAAGTTGGAAGGGATGATAATACCCTGGCCTGAGCATTGAAGGGATGAAACTGCCATTTACTCAGAGAAAACATATAAGAACATGACTAAAGAGAATGTTAAAAAAAAAAAAAAGCTAGGATGTTGTATATGTACTAATCCCCATGATGAACATAATCATTACATACTACAACCATGTACCAATGAAAATTTTAAAAGTTTTTTTAAATAACCCGATTCACCAGAGACAAAATAGTAAGTACCACTGACCAATGTATAAAGGGAATTGCATGTGGCACTACGCGTCTATATGTTACAAAACATCAACAATGATCATGAGAAAATGAGAAGAACCTAAAATACAATACATATTGAGAACTGAAGATGCATTAATAGTTTTGAAGCAACACTCACATATCAAGGACTCTGTTCACATCACTGCAAGGCAAGAAAGGCAGGAAAACATAATCTCCACCTTCAGAAGGTCCATATTTTTGAAGAAAGTCAAAGAAAACAGAAGACAAAAAGGGTCCCTAAAAAAAGTGACCTTGGAACTGAGATCTGGAACTACAATCCCAGCACACTGGCAGGCTGAGACAGGAAGATCACAAGTTTAGCTGAACCTGAGGAACTTAGCAAGACTTTGTCCTCAAAATAAATATTAATATAAATCCTTAGGATGTAGTTTAATGCAAAGGCTCTAGCTTCAATTTCTACTGGGAGGTGGGGAGGAGAGGGAGAACTGGGAGGGGAAGAAGGAAAGAAGGAAGTAGGTCTTGAAGGAAAGAAGGAAGTAGGTTTTGCTAATAGCAGGAACAAAATGGTCCAAACAGAACCTGAAGAACTATGGCTACGAGGTGAACAGCTTGATGACAAGTTGTAATGAAGCAGAAATTGGGTCATGAACTTTTTAATGCATATTGTTCCTCCACACTAGAGCACAAAACTGTGGATATAATTCAGGTAGTTTCTGAATTTTGATGGAAATAAACTTTTATTTTTGACAAAATTTAACTGAAATTAACAATTCCTTCAAAAATACAGGGCAGTATCCACAATACTATTAGCAATGGCTATGGCTTCGTTAACTAAGAGAAATCAGGTATTTTCTTATCACACTACAATTTTTAGAGGTATCTTGAAATATTATGTGTGTTCATCTTACTTAATATCCTGACATTTAAAGCTGGGTATAGTGACATACACCTGTAGTCTCAATTACTTTGGAGCTTGAGGTGGAAGGATTGGGAGTTCAAGGTCACCCTAGGTAATCCAGAGGCTCCCACCTCATTTTGTTTTTTACATCTTAGCATTTATTATATTTGACACCAAATTTTATTACATAATATATTAGTAATGAGGCACAAACTACCAGGTACATTACTTTTAAAATATCTGGACAATTCTGCTTCAATATAATTAATCTTACTTTGTTTTATTTTGTACATTAAAAACAGTATTTAAAGATAGGATTCAACAGTGTCAAGTGGGTCTATAGCACAAAAAAAGAATTATAACCAACTTATAATTAAAAGTAAAATAAACTTACGGTCCTAACTAAACTTGTGTTGCTTGTTTGAATAAGACACTTCTCAGAAATATCAAAGAAACTAGAAAATAAACTGGGTATCAGACACTACCAACATATTACTTATTTTATGATGTGTAAAAATAGCATTGTGATATCTTTAAATCGTATGTTTTAAAGATATAAAGAATACACAATCAAAATGACAATGGGGGAGTAGAAAGTGAAGTATATTACATAAATCTGTGTGATGGGCTGATGGAAGATTGTGTGCTACTTTCTGTTTGAAATTTTTCATAATTAAGTAACCAAGAAAACAAAGAAAAAGGCATCCCCACCCCTCTCTAATAGCTGCTTTATAAAGAAACAGGGGAACAAATCTGAGAGAGATGCCCTTTTCCCCTAGGCTGACTTCCTTGGGCCAAGATGTCTGACTTGATAAAGGTGCAAGCTGAAGATTTTCCTCTTTCCTTTTCTATTAGGTTCAGTGGGGACAGTAGGAATCATTAAAACTTTCTGTGAAGTTATTCACATATTGTATGGATGCATGACATCTAAAGGCATTCATGCAGTCATTTCCAAGGGGAAAAAAAAAACCTATTCCCATTATGTTAGCTGTCTGGGTCAAGAAAATTAATCTTTGATCAAAACTGTGTATCTTGGCATTACAGACACCAGTGGTTTAGGAAAAATAATGTTACAGTCTTAAACTAACAAGTGCCAATTAAATTCAGGATTTATGTTTAAAAGAACTTGATAATTCAGAAGATTTGAACATGGAGTAGGGAGAAGAAAACAGATAAAACACAGTAGCTATAAGAACACATAAAGGATGTAGTGATCTGTCACCGTAGAAAGCACAAAGTTTCTACAAAGAGTGAGGGAATGCTACACTGAGGCAGATGAGTCACACGAAACTGATCCCACATTACTGGAAAATAACTATGTCTGAAGTCCTTCCCATTTGTGAACTGGTAGCTGACACATCACTCTAATCTTGATATATTTAATCTCAGTATAGTTAATCTTGGTATATTTGCTTGAAATACTAACAAGGCCTTCTTACAACCTGCAGGAAAGTAGACTGCTAATCATAGCTTGTTCTCCATGCCTATTTATACTGTTCTTGTTCTTCTAATTTGTCATCTCCTTCATGACAGCTCTATCAAGTATCTGTCTCTACATTATAAATTCTTTTATTGGACTGCCTGAGAAAGAACTAACTGGGTCCCTCAAATATGGTAGTCATACCTTGATACTCAACTGCTTTGAAACTCATCAAATTTGGTACTCGATGCCTTATGACATGAAAATTCTGTCCTGGTACTTGAAGTCTGATACTCTATAAACAAGCGAGAACTTACAAGTGGGTTGCCTTGTGACTACCATTTCCA